CCCTGCCTCGACTGCCACCCCCTCCACAACATCCTCCCCCGCAACCACCCCAGTGACCCCACCCTCCACACAATCCCCCCCTGTCTCTCGACGCCTCGCATCCTCCAACGCCCGTGCGAATGCCTGAGCACGCGGGTTAGTCGATGCCATAAGTCGAGCCCTCTCTCGCTCTAGGATGTCGCGTGCCACATCTGGAGACGCAGTCATCGTCACTCTCTGGGGCTGCGTGAGACTCTCTCCAGCTACGTCGTCCCTTGATGGAGCGCGATCCGTCGATGTCGCCCCGCCGCAACTAGGTGGAAGGCCCATCGACAAATCTAAGTCCAGGTGGCTCCCCATCTGCAAATCCGACATCCCCAACCCCCTCGCCACACCTGGGGTCATACTCCCCATGACCGGATCGTACTGCTCCGTGAGGAACTGCTGCATGAGGCGCTCGTCACCGCCCCCACGCGACACCTCCGCCTGTGCCCCTATCTCCTCCTCCACTGCTCCTGGCATTCCCCCCCCCACTGCATCCGACCCTCGTCTCGCTGCTCCTGCTGCTGCAGCCACAAGCCCATCCAGTGCAGTTGCTCCACCAGCTGCTCCTCCAGCTGCTCCTTCCGCTACTCCTCCCGCTGCTCCCGCCTGCCCCTCCACTGCATCTGCTCCCCCTGGCGCTGGTGCCTCCTCCGCCAACGCCGAAGTTGCCATCTCCTCTAGCAATGAAGCCGCTGCTGCTACAACTTTCTGGTCCACCACACCTGCAATCGTCGCGTCCGCCAATCCCCCCTCCACTGCCATCTCCCCCTCCACTGCTGCTGCCGACGGTCCCCCCTCCTCCTGCAAGACCCCCGGAGAAGGTGATCGTAACCTCAGTTGTCGGACTGCCCTGCCTCTGTGGAGTAGTCCGCGCTGAGGCAAAGAGGACGCCAACTCCTCCGTGTTCTCTGCTACCGTGGTCGGCTCATATGGCGCGACGGGCGATGGCGATGCAGGACTCGGAGCAGAAGGTGGCAGCATGGACGACTCCTGCCTCGTCGGAGCGGAGCTCGTCGCCCGCGCTCCTGTGCCGCCCGTCGAAGCGACCTCCCCGAACCGTCCCCACAACTCCTCCTCTCCCCCCATCATCTCCCTCTCCGCCCTGTCAGCCGCCCGTCGTGCAGTATGCGCCCTGGTGTCCTCCTCGGGGTCCAGGTGCGTCTCGTCGATCTCACGGGGAATGCGGAGCGCGGGGTGGTCCGCTGCCTCGGGTACCGGCTCCTCGTCGGAATCATCCTCCCTGGGGTAAGGACGAAAAATGGAAGCACGTCTACCGAGTACGGCCTCAGCGGCGGGTGGTGCGGAGACCCCGATGGGATCCCGGGTGATAAGCGCAACCTGACAGGCAATCTCCTCCGGCGTCATCCCCCTGCGCGTGCCCGTGCGCACTGGCTCCAACTCTTGTCCGGCCTGGCAGTCTAGCATGCCCTCGTCCCGCTGCCATGGCAGCATATAACCGCACCCAGCCCACCGATACTCCGACAACCGCACATTCACGGTGATCTCAACGAGCTGAACGACCTTGTCAAAGGCCAACTGGTTGCGCTTCTTCGTGTGAATGCCCTCGTAGACTGCCCAGTTCCTCTCCGCTGGAGACGCGCAAGACCACATGTGCATCACACGAAGAGCGCAGCGCTGCAACTCAGGTGCGCCAGACCCGTACTGAGACCACCAGGACGTGCACTCAATCGTCTCCCTGTCGCCGCTGCAAGCACGCCCACGAGCACGCCCCTCCCCCCGTCCCCAATCCCCAAATGTGCCCTGCTGCATGTGGAAGTCCTCAAACTGCCGACATGCAATGATGTACTCCACACCATCCTCCTCGTAACCCGTCTGCGTCAAAATGTACCTCTTGGCTTGCCTTACAAGCCAACGAGGGTAATCCCTCACCTCGCCCGAAAAGTACTCAACATGTCGCCTGCGGGGGTTCAGTAAGAACCCCCCGCAGTGAGCAGGCTCCAGCATGTGCTGTGTGCGAGCCTACACACGCCTGATGATGCGGTCAGCGAAAACCCTCCCCAAAGGAGCGCATGCATCAGTGACACAGCGGACAAGATCCTGTGTCCACTCGATCATGARGGACATGTACTGCCCCCCACGATCCATCCGCCTAAGCAGCTCCATGACGGGCTGCATGATGTGGACTATGGTGGCCATCGTGTGCCACCAAGGCTCCCATCTGATCYGCCGGCGCAYCCAACGYGCCATGTCGCACACATCGGCGGACCACGGTATAGAAGCAAACTCCCGCCCCTCATCCCCTCGCATCATCGCCTGCAGAGCGTCCTGCAGGGCCAACAGTCTCTCCAACATAAAATAAACAGACGCGAACCACGTCTCGCAAGAAAGCACAAGCCCCTTGTTGGGGCTGCGCTTCCTAAAGAAATAAAGGGCGGCCTGGTGGGTTTTGAAAAACACCACCAGAACAGGAGCGCGTGTAATCGCGTCCACAAACGCGTCGCAACTCGTCCCCATGTCTGACAACAATTTGTTGCAGACATGGATGGAACACGGAAGCCAAGTGATCCTCCTGATTGCAGGAAGGATGCCCGGCGAGGCCAATGCCCTCGCAGCCCCCACGTACGCCGATGCGGAGTCTGTGCATATCGCATTGACCCGCTGCGGGCTGCCGAAACTGAACTCGTAGAAGATGGTCACCCATCTCCGAAGGACGTGCACTGCATCGTCCGGCTCGCCCTCGCGATTGATCGTCGTGTAGACGACAACCCCTCGCGAGCCGGCGACAAGGAAATTCACGATCGGTCTCCCGTCTCGTGATTTCCTCCCGTCGGAGAGGAGGGTAGCACCAGTGATCCAGAATGGCTGCCTCACCTCCTCCAACTCCTCCACCAGCTCCTCACTGTGGGTCTCCACCGCCTGCATACTCGCAATCTCGCTATGGCTAGGGAGCACAGCGCGCGGGGAATTGCCAGGCTGCTCAAGAAGGACCTGCTGGTATGCCTTCCAAGCCTGGTTGTGGAAGGCATTGAAGGGGACCCCGCTGGAATAGAGCCAGCGAAGGAATGTCTTCTTGTGGCGAGCAACCCACTCGCCACCGTAGATGTCATTGACCTTCTGCTGGCGATGCCTCTTCCTAGCAGGGGCGGCGGCCGGATCTGTTCCACCTTCCTTCCTCTTGGAAGAACCCTCCCCTACAGGTCCCTTGGCTGCTCGCAAGTCCTTCATCCTCTCCCCAGTGCCTGGATAAACCTCAAGCACGTCCTCGTGTCCCGGGACTCCCTGCTCGCCTGGGACACGCGCCTCGCGATCGACGTTGATCGCGCCCTCCTCCATGTCTCCACCTCCACCATCTCCCCCGACCGCTCCTGATGCTCCCTCCACGGGCTGCCGCCCCGCCTCTCCTCCCCTTACACCACCCGTGCTAGGCACATCGACTCCGCGCTCCGCTGCGTACCTGGCAACCCTCTCCATTTGATCGCTCTCGAACTTCTGTTGACTCCGTCGCGCGATCTCGTCTGCGTGAAATGCCTCGTCGCCTGGAATTGGCTCCCCTGAAATACTTTGTTGCAAAAAGTGCAACGCAGCATCATGACCCCCTTGTTGTCGACCTTCTGGCCGACAACCAGGTAACGGTACACAGGGGAGCGGCCCCTGAATGTTTCCTGCACATGGTCAGGGGCAGGCTCATGCTGACGCCGCTGTGACCTCCCCATGACGGCCACCCTCACCGCCTCGCGAGTCAACAATCGCAACCCCTTACTCCCCCCAAAAC